AAAAAGGAATGAATATATATTTAATAAGTTTTTGAGCACTTTAGTTGAATACAGGGTTTAGTTAATTTTAGTGAGGATAACTTTAAACTGAAGTCTCGGCATGTATTTAGTGGGTTACTGGACAAAAAGGGTATATCCTGCTAGCGGACTTAGGCCGCGAATCGTTGTTTCAGAAATTTTACTTACTATTTTTATAATAGATAATAGTTAAGTTCATGAGCTTATGTCAGTTAGAAAGCCGTATAATAGACCTCGAGATGGAGAAATATCGTGGGCGACTGTTAGCGCAGGGGGATACTTATCGCAATTACGATGCTAGGAATGTCTGCCAAAGAGAAGACAATAACATTGTGATTCTATCGAAAGACACCCATTGTCTGTTGGCTTTTTGAGGTTGAAAACTACTCTGACAAATACTCACAGATACTAATATTAAAAAATTTTTGAATTTTAAAAGCTGTATCGAGTTTGTTGGGAAAGGAATTTTTTAAGGAGTAGCTCTCTGTTGCGGTCGTACCAGTTTTACTAAGCGCTCATTGCTGGTTGATTGCTTAGTAATTTATCCTAAGTTATAAGTCTCACATCAAATCGTCAAGTTTCTTGACAATAGTTATAGTTTAAAAATTTAGTTAGAAAAGAGCAAGAATTTATATAATGGATAGTTGAGTACAAATGATTTACGCAATTAATGAAACACTGTCTTTAGTACCAATGGGGATGGGGTCAAAACATAGTTTTTACATTTAAAATAACACTTCGTTTGCCTGTAGTCCGCGTCTAGATTGCTGATTAATTTGTCCGCCTAATGCTTCTCATAGTAGTGGGTCATCAGTTCTTTTAGATCCGTGCTGCTGCTTTTTTCGGGAACTTATAAAAAATCTAAGATTGTATCTTAATAAGTTTGTAAAATAAAAAGAAACAAAGGAAACAAATTAAAAAATTAATCTGGAAAAAGTTAACTCGACTGAGCGAGTTGAAATGAGAGTGGAACAAAAAATTATCAAGAGTTTAGACAGGTCCAATCTTGATGCAAGAATGCTTCAAAGTACCTTTGTCTAATTCTAATCTTAATGGACTTTGTTTCATTGGATATCTTTCATCTTTCAGTTGTTTGGAAAGTTTTCAGTAGTCTCATCTTTGAAGTTTTTAATATTAAAAGCCGTTATTCATTCCGTCTGTGATTTGCAGGTGTTTTATAAATTTTTTGTGTCTTTCTATGGCTCCAAAGACCGGGTGCTTATCGCTCTAATGTCTGATTTTCAAAGCAGATTTTTTTAACCGGTCAGCCTTTATGGCGAAAAACTTTTTTTCTTTGATATCCGACAAAATAGTCTGTGGAAAAATATCGAATATACTGAAAGGAATTCAGCCTTGAAAAAATGAAAAAAAAATTGGACCAGTACTTAAAGGACTTTAAATAGAACAAAATACTTTTATCTCCGTGTAGTATTTGCAATACTACAATACTCATGAATACAATCAAAACAAAATTGATTGCGTGAGGTCAAAATCTTGATTTTTTTATTGTCCTTGTAGATGTCTGGAATAGTGTTTGATTAGGAAAAAAACAAAGCTGAAATTTTCCAAGATCTCTAAATTCTTCTTCCGCGCATATTTCAGGATACGTTCATTGCAGCTCTAAAATTGGGACTCTTAAGATTCCAGCAATGACAAAAAAAAAGAAATGAGGAGCCTTCTATCCCTAATGAAACAAAAATTGCAATCCTGATTTAGGAAAAATTTTACTTTCAGCTCGGTTTTTGACAACAATAAACCTGAAAGAAATGAAATTGATCAACTTTGCAAAACTAGTGTAAGCTGCAAGCATTCTTTTAAACATAATTTACCCTTGCGATCTTCTGTCTCTGCCTCATTTCGAACAACTGATGAGCAGTCTGCAAAAGTACTACTCAACTTGAAAAATGCACTCTTAGAAGAGAGCGTATGTAGTGACTGGAAACTGTTGTTGTGCCAAAAAGAAAACCAAACACTGAAATTTTAGACTCTTTTCTGCTCGGGGTGGGTTTTTTTGAGACGTTTGTGCTCGGGTGGGTTTTTTTTCTTCAGACAAAATTCGACTTTTTAACTAGCCTTTTTTGACGGATTTTTTTTTATCATTCGAAAAGAATTGTTATCTTGAGCTCAAATTTGAAAATATATTTCACCTGTGATCACTTTTCGTAAAGTTACGGGGGTTTAAAAATTGCCATTTTGGCCAATTTGGGTAATTTAGCGCGCGATGTAATTCGCGCTATTAACACGTAAGCGGAGAGCAGTTAATCCGTCTTAGAAATGGTTCAAAATTGGTTAAAAGAAGCTTATTTGACATAAATGGTTTGTTACAATGAGCGAAATCTATCCTTTTGTACTTTGTGGCGTGTGGGGGGATGGTTTTCATAAAAAATTTCAAATTTTAGAAGAAAAATTTTTTTTTTGATTTTGTTTTATTTCATTGAATTTTTTAATGTTATTACTGCTCCATAAACCTTAAAAGGCAGTCGAAACATTCAGGGCTTCGCCCTGATACGAGCAGTCTTGTTTAGTTTTACTATCTGCGCAAAGCATGCCTTTTGTATAACTCACTTAATTCGACGCTGAAACCTTTACCTAAAACTCTATGTGAGTAAAAAATTTCATCAAAAATAAAAAAGATAAAATAACTGAGAGTGAACACATGTCGCGGTAGATTTTTACAAATACAACTAGCTGCACAAAAGTGAGGCGTACGTAAAAATTTGTTTATACTGGTTTATACGTAAATAAATGTTGTATTGTTTAATAATTTTGACATTGTTTTTGTGCGTTTCTTGAAAAGTAATTTATTCATGGTACAATTTTTTCATATCTGTGCATACTATTTTGTTAGACAGCATCGTTTTCCCTGGTTACCAGCTGAATCAAGGAAACTGAATTGCTGAATTGACTTTTCAAATAACATTTACAATCTTTTGCGTATATAGCCTGAAACGTATTGATGATCTGATATCATATATACTATAATTCACTTGTGATTATCTAAGCAAAATCACTGGTATTTGAAATTGCCAAATTTGCCGATTTGGGATAACTGACCCGCTGAAGAAATTGTGCTTTTAATGCGGAAGCGGAGTTTTAACCCTTCTTTGAACGCTGCATTGTCTTTTTTTCGACTGTTGAAGAAAGTGACGGAATATTTGTACTCGAGGTGGTACCCATTTGTACCCATTTGCAATTCTTAATAAGTTAACGCGTAGTTTCTTCCGTCCATTTATGGAGTAGTTGGAGATTCAATCCGTCTAGGAATCGTTTCAAATTTAATTTAGGCACGCTACTTGGTCTATTTAATGCTCTGAGAGTGTTGTTTTTTTTGAAGAAAAAATAGAAAAAGTTTCAATTTAGTGAAAAAGGGATCCGAATTTCAAAATGAAAACTACTCCAAAGACGTTAAAACGCATTGTAATTTTCAAAGCGTCGCCATGATAGAAGTTGTCTTTTGTAAACTTGTGTTTAAAGGATTTAAGCTAAAATCAATGTTGCATGGAAAGTATCGTTTGTTTCAGCTTTCCTACAAGTCAGACAATTCCCAAAACTGAAGGAGTGTGATTATTGATCAATTAGTTTGTCTCTTTTATACTAAAGCCATTTTGTTTTTCATTTCAATAAAATTGAAAAACTAGAAATTTAAGAAGTAAGAAGTGACATTTTATCCTCTGCTAATTGCGAGCTATATCCTAATTTCTTTTAACGCAGAGCATATGTGAAGAAGTATTACCGACCCAGAAAATTTTCCGAAAAGATGTGAAGCAAAAGTTGTTCAAATAAAAAGCTACTTGGCACCAAGTTAATCACTTTGTATTTGATTTCACGTGAAGGTGGAAGATTTCACGTTCACTTAAATTTCTATAACCTCATTAGTTTTGGAATTATTTCAGATTTTTTAACCAGATCTGCTTTTGACATTTCAAAGGCATTCGGAATATTAGTGCGCCATCGTGGTGCAATCAGTCTTGATTATATTATTCCTAAGTTTGTCTAAATTTTAATTGAAAATAAAAAAATGTTTAAATTTTTCACTCGCAAGGCTTAACTCCTCACGAAAGGAAGAGATTAAAAAGATTCTTTGTTTCCGAATTTGTGAAAAAACATGTGATCAAATTATAATCTTATTTGATCCTCGAACTTATCTTTGAAGTCCACTGACTAGACAATGGGGAATTTGGTGGCTTAGAATGAGAGAAGAAGAAAAAAAGCTCCAAGATCTTCCTAAGCTTCTAACACATCCCCTTTTGATGATTCGACCACCTAGCCGTCCAAATAACCCCCCTTTGATAAAATAATTGATATAAATTTTTGGTTGGCCAACTTTAAAAGTTGTCTAATGGCGCCTTTCGACAAAAATAAATACTAATTAACGCAAAACAGTCTTTTTTGTAAAATTTTTTCAAAAAAAACCCAAAAACATCATTTAGGCGCTTTTTTATGCAACTATTTGTTCAGAATAGGGTTTAAATGATGTTTTTGATGGAACTCAGAAAATTAGTTTGGTCTACCTAACAAAATTTGAAACAATTTTTTGAAAACCCTCCCATCCAAATCAAAAAATCGTTCCCCTGCAAAGAATCACTGCTGTTAAAATTGGAAATATTTTTAACAAGCATTCAGCCATAATAAAAAAAAATCACGTGAGCTTTGTTCGAACAGTTGAAAAAAAACAGAAATTTTTAACAAAATTATCCAATGCCGGATCTCAAGTGGGCTAAAACAATCAGTACGAATGTTACTGACGAGAGCTTGATAAAAACATGAGTGCTGTTAATAGTTGTCAATTAAAAAAATCAAACTGATTTCCTCATTTATATTAACCCTAACATTGAAGTGAATGAATATCATTTTTTCCTCTTTTTTTTCTGTGAGTAACAAAATTAAACTAAAAAAATTGGCGACTGGAAATCACAGAATAGGTTGTATCTTCATAAAATTTGCATTTTTAGAGGATAATAAACCAAAAAGTTTCTTCTTACCTTCTCAATAGCCGAAGTATTTCCGGGTTTCATGGTTGATTTTTTTAATCTATGTTGAAAAAAATGTGATATTTTCTGTCAGTTTGCTTGTCAACTTCACTTGCTTGTCTACTACAAGTCACAGAGTGTATTATAACCAGTTTGTAATAAAATATAAAAGAACAGAAACTGTTTATAGCCAGATGCAATTCCAATTCATGACCGGTGGGGACTTTGTTCAGCCTATGGATTATGGAGGGTATTAACCCGCAGGTGTGATCAAAACACTTTGTTCACAAGTAGGGGATGAACCGAAATGGCTGATGGTTTCCGTCGAAAAAACTAACACGACAAATTTAAGACGTTGACATTCTTTGAAAAACGAAACAACAAACAAGCTGGTTGGTATGATATTTATCTGCCATTTTGGAGACAATATATCTATAAAAAATAATGGAAAAGTAAGGGAAAAAATATGAATTCAAAAAAGGACAACCTTACTAGGAAACAGAAGTGTAGGAGTACAAGCAGCTTAAGCAGTTTTATATTCTGAAAAGCATTTGATCTACGGTCGAGCAGTTTTTTATTTAACAGACGAGAATTTAACTAAATAAGAACATTGAAGGCTTTAGATTACATTCGCCTAAAAACTGCGTACACGATGTTTGTATAATCGCCGCCCTTTTTTATTCTGCTAAAAATATAAAAACACTATCGCCTACGTGTTGGCGAGTTTTCGATCGTTGAGCCTTGCTGTTCAGACTATTGAAAGGAATTTGTATTCGGGTGAATTTCAGTTTTTTCTTTGTTTTTTTTTGTTTTCCTAGCAAAATCAGGTACCACGAGTAATCATCGGAATGGGTTCAGTGATATATCATAATAAAGCCTTTTCAGTCGTGATTCGAATGAGAGGGCTTCAAAAATCTATGTCTGACTATCCTTGTTTTTTTTGAGTTAGAGTCGAAATTTAAAATCAATTTCCAAATCAAGTTTTTATATAAAAAAAGAAGATCTCGAAAAACATATTTATTCAATTGAAGAAAAATATATCAAAAGTATTTTCTCAACATGCTCTAAAACAAAGAGAAAAATTAATATTGGCAAGCGACTTGTTGATTTAAAGGCACAAAAACCAACAGTTTTTGATGCCAAATATGATTTGATTGACAATAATTGTGCTACCAAAAAACATATTAACCATAGTCTCATTGAGTTTCATGACTTCAAATTCACTGTTTCAGACTTTCGACCGATTTCAATTTACTCCTAATAAGTTGTCGGCTAATTGAACTGGCCCTTTGACTTCTCTTGCTCACACTTGTGGATCTCCTTCTCTGCGATATGGACTTCGACTTACTGCGTCTTCGGCCTACGAACAGACCCGCTTTGGACTCTCGTCTCGTCCCAGTGGATGATCGCCGTCTTCGTCTCTCGGGCAGAACAACTCCTTTCTCTTCGGCTTCGTGGACCGAATAGTTCTCGTCTAAAGCGAGCACTTTAACGAGCAGTTTCTTCTCGTTGTCGAACTTCTCTTGCTGCACCGCCTTCTCATTTTCTGAAATGCAATTAAGTTAAGTTAAAACAATTTATGACGACTTAAGACAATTTAGAAGGGAAAGGACCAATATACGAGCTGTTCAGCTCCTCGTACACAGCCGCTGATATTTCCTTGGTTAAGATCTACGTGCACTTTTTTCGTTTTTTTTAGGGCTGCGTAATGTTGCCTCACCTTCAAGCAGCGAGCAGGAATCATAATGGGTATCGACAACCACTTGACCGATTGTTTTTAAAATTTTTGAAGCAACTTTTTTTGAAAGAAAACAAGAGTAGGAGGAGCAAGTAACACGTTAGGTGCCGAATACAGACGCTCTGGCAAAAGAATGATTTTTTTAAAATTCTTTTTTCTCGATTTTTTCTAAAAGTTTTTAGTAACTTTTTTTGAATTTCTGGGGAGAAGATTTTACGTGTCATTTAGCTGCTTCAACAAAGTGAAATGTTTTAAATGTTATACCACCAAGCAGAGTCACTTTGAACTAAAATTTACGAGGCATTACGAGGCCAAAATGTGAGTTTGTGAATTGTAACCGGATTCCGAAACAAGCATAAGTCACATTTGTCACGGAATCCGCTTCATTGCTATTTTTCTTTGATCTTCTCTGCTGTTTTGGATTCCACGGACAAATAGCTAAAATGTTGCTGAAAAAATACATATATATTTTTTTAAAAATGGCAAAAATGGGACCTTTTCATTTCTATCTTCCTTTTATTCCCTACTTCAAAAGTTAAACTACAAAAGGGTTTTTAACGTCTCGTATTGTCCTAATGAGAACTCGTCGATTGCCTTAACTGAATTTGGTTGATATAACTCGCCTCATCTTATAGCCCGAAATTATTCTAAGTTTAGAATTAGCTGTTTTTAGAAGACTAAACATTTGAGGACCGATTAGCTCGCCTTAGTTCAATTTGCATGTAGTAATTCGAATTAGTAATACGGGATAATTCGCCACGCATAAGAAAACTACGTTACCTTTTCAGCATCCTAAAAAAAACTTTTCACGTATAAATCAGTCCAGAGGCAATTTAGCAATTTTCAAACCCCCAGAAATTTGAAAAATTTATTTCGAAGGTAAAATACCTTTTTACAATTGAAATCAAGGAGTTAATACAGGGTCATACATTTTTTTGATAAAAACTATTAAGTTAATCGCCACAACTTGACTAAATGAAAAAACACCCCAATTTATTCGAAAATCTTATAAAAAATGTGCAAAACTGGAAAAAAAAATTTATTTGAGCTCAAGACAACGGTATTTTTCAAATGGTAACGAGAAATTTTGTTAACACTTATTTGCAAATTCAAAACTTGGCTGAATAAAAAAACCACCCCAAGCACATTTATTCCGTCACTTTCTTCGAAATCAAATAATTACTCATAGTCAAATGAAACATCCGACGATGAATAACCAAATGGTGGCCATTACCCAGATTGGCCTTCTCCCTCTCTTTGTCAGCTGCACTCTTCTTCTTCACCAGATTGTCACACACCCACTGCTTCCTCAGATTGGGGGATAACTTCAACACCGACACCTAGGGATACACATACATATCGCAGACCGACTCCAGTACCCCCCCCCCTGGATTTATTACCGAGAGCTGAAACCGGCTTAGGACCAAATTCTAGAACCCCGACAAACAATTAATTCATCATTTTGGACCACACATTGGCACATAGAATGATGGCACATAGACTGCGTTGTGAGATTTTATTAAATTTTTCCTGTCAATAAGATAATCAGCGATCAATAAAAAAATACTTTGTGATCCAAATGATTAGTAACAGTTTTAAAGAAGTCTATCAATCTTGAAACTGTTTGTGGTCACACAAAATCAGCACCTTCTCTCCTTTTTAAAATATCCGTCCTTCGGATAACTACCCGGGTCGAGGTCCCAGACTCATGTCCATACTTTGAGAGGCGCGCCGCATCCGGATTTAGACCCAAATTGCATAGTCGCGCCGAGAATTTGAGTCTGGAAAGTCTGGACATGAGTCGCGCCGTTATAACTAATGCATCATAACTAAGACAACTAAATGCGTCATTTGGATAATTGTGAGATGGTTCTCCCTACCTCCCCCTTGGAGTCCCCGACCAGCGCCACTGGGTCCTTGTGACTCAGCAGTACTCTGGTAGTGTGGCTCCTCTTCCCCACCACCGCCTGAGTCTTGACAGGGTGGGATCTGGACTCGGCCAGGTTGTAGAACAGAATGTGTCTGTCGTGAGTGACAGCCGTGAAACACGTGGACGAGTACGAAGTCCACACTGAAACACAACTTCAAGTAATTCAAACATCATACGGGAAAAAGAGAAGCCGGTAGCTGTGCAAGCGACACAGATTGTTCCGACCACAGTGAACTTTTCCCATTAAAATGAAAAACGAAAACTATGATTGATTTCTTGAAGTTTTTTTTTATTTTTCGCTCTAAATTAGTCAACAAAACATTTAATAATAATTCATTTTTTTTTGATAATGACTGAAAAGAGTTTTTGTGAAATTTCTGAAGCTAAACATTCTGCCGCTTTTGATTGCACCTGACTTCCTGATTTAAGTGTAAAAAAATTACTTTCGGTACTGAAATTCTTTTTTTATCCCGTTTGATTCAAAAAAAAAAAATTTTTAACCTTAAGTAGCGTTTTCAATTGAGTTGATAGCTAAATACACCAAGTGAGAACTATCTTTGTGCCCCCCCCCCCTGCAGTCTAAACTCACCCGCGTCCCTGGCGGAAGTGGTCATGTGGATGGTGATGGAGGGGAGGGGACAGAGTCTGATAGTGTGCAGTTTCCACACCTTCACACTCCAGTCTCCCCCCACTGTGAGGAGGATGTGGGCGTCGAAGGGGTTGAAACTCATGCCATCCACTGAGGAGACATGTGCCTTCCATTTGCCACTGTTGATGCGGTTGCGGTGTCTGCAACACAACAACACAACAACACAACAGAGCTTTTTTCGTTTTCCACACCCTCATAGAATTACATAAAATCTGTTCAAAAATTGTTCACACGGCATTTTACAAGTAAGAATTGTTGTGAAAAGTTCACGCTGACACGTTTTGATGCAGTTTATCACATTGAATCCCTCTCAGAGGGGGCTTATTTTCAAAAAAAAATTAAAAATGTAGATAACTTTTTTTTTGATAGGTCGACAAAATTGATTTTTCAAGCTGTCTTAAAACACTATAAAGAACCTATTTTGTGAAAATTTTCTGCTCCGAAGACCAAAAACGCCGTTCCTTGTTCTCTGTGGAAAATTTTGGTTCAAAAATGCTTATTTTTTAGCACGCAATCCCCCTCAATAATGTTTCGCCCATGCTTTTAGAAAAATTTTAAAATGGGTAGGCTGAAAGTGAATATATTGAATCATTAGCAAAAGAGGACCCTATAAATGGTGAAGGGGTCGGCCTTTTGAAACATGAACCTTCTCTCCCCTAACAAATCCCCGACCCTCCCCAAAAAACATCAATTCAGCTATCTAAATCAGACCCTGCATTGGAGTGAAATTTTTCTCCCAGGAAAAAATCCGATCACAACTATTTTTGTAACATTGGAAACCCAAAAAAAAACAATTACTTTTCTTGTTGTTCCGACTAGAGGTGCGGGCCAACCGGCTTAGCCGCCGCCACCGGAGTTCAAAGAAACACTCCGCCGCCACGAAATAAACACGGCGCCAGCATCGGCTGAATCATTTCGTGAGTAATACAGTAAAGAGCCAGCTACTATATTGCGTCAGCTACTATTCTAATGAATTAGCCAACGTTGGAATTCCTTAACTATGAGTAACTACAATCACAACTATCAGGCACTATTTTCAAACACTTATTTTTGTTCATGAAAATTATGCGCTGGTCTCTAGTTCCGACCCTTGAAAATGGAGAGGAATTTTGTCTTCTGATGGTTTTAGTTTTTTTTTCTTTTTTTGTTTTCATCGAAAAACCACGTACCGCAAAGAAGGTAAAACGGGTTGAGCCTTGTGACATATCTTATTAAAACCCTTTCAATCGTGGTTCCAACGAACTTAATTTTTTTTTAATTGTTCATGTGTTGAGAAAACTCAATTGACGTTTTTGAGATTTAGTCTATCATCGAGTGAATATCGCGATCGAGTTATGTTCGTTATATGAAAATTCGACATTTAGGCTCACATAACAGGAAAAAAAGTTCCTTTAAAACTTTATTAAGCGCTTCCTTGGCCATAAAATGTTTTTTTTTAAAAAAGAAACAAAATTATGCTGAAAACATTTCTCTGACATTTTAAGAACATTATTGTCTTTTATTGATTTTTTGAAGGCAACTGATCATGATTATGACTAATTGGCTACTTTTCTACGCTTTTGTGAAGAGAATGATGGAAAATGATTCTCTCATCACAATATGGACAAAAAAATCGACACTAAAATGAAGACAAAAACGAAAACATTCTGTGCTACTTGCTCAGCAACCGACTATGATTGGTCAAATTTGAAAATCAGTGATAAATTTTGGTTGGAAAATGAGCTGCAAAAGATTATTTAAATAAAAAATTGTTTGCTTCAACGTGCTCAAATGAACTTCAAATTACCATTTTTTTGTATGTACAAATACGTATACCGCAAATGTAGTAATTTCATATCAATTCATAATAAACTATTTTCATTTACTAACCTAGCATTACACATGTAGATCCACCCCTGCTCTGTCGCCACTAGGAAGTTCCCGCTGTGTTTCGCCTTAGCCCCTTCCTCGTCCCCCGCACTGGAAGAGGCCTCGTGTCTCTTAGCCGGGTTGTTCTGGTCGGGAATGGGCTGGAACTCGATGGCCTTGGCCTTGTCGTGTAACACTTCATAATCTGTCGGATCCTCTCCCGTTAGGGATGGTCGGATTCCAAAGTCAGACTTAGCTTAACACAAAGGTTGTATCATGATTATTTTTCGAACGCCCTAAAACACGCCAAAAAAGGGAGCGCGATCCAAATAAAAAACAAGGTCCGTCAACCAAAAATGGATCGACATGGGATCAAATCCCTGCCGAAAATGGACAATTCATTAGGCCAGCAGCGGGTCAAATCCCTCAGAAAAAAAACAATCCCCTCCTACCCAACCCCACCCCCTATATCCCCCCCTGCTTTTGGTTGAAACCGTTCAAAAGGGCGACCAATTAATAAAAATTTCAGCGAGAGAGCAGTAAAAAACCTGATCAATTAAAAAAGAAAATCGACAAAACCTTCAAACACTCCTAGATCCCTCCCCCCCCCCCCTCCCCCCGCTGAACAGTCACCTCTAGTGGTGGAGTAGTTAGACTTGAGCTGTAAGAGATCAGTGTTGACCAGTTGGTTCAAAGTGGTCACACTCCACAACACAATCCTGCCGTCACTCCCGACTGAGATGACATTGGGCTGCTCCACCTCCAGATTGGCAGTCTCGTTCCAGGCCATGTCCCACACCGGCCCAATGTGTCTGCCCTCCGTCTCGTAGTCCGTCATTATCCTCGTCTTCCGGGCTAGAAGTAAGCTCCGTTAATCCATGCTCAACAATGAAGTTAGGGCTTGTTTCCATTTTCTCAACCCCACAAACCCCCCCCCTCCCACCCCTCCATTGTTGTAAAATTACAAAAGTAAGTGTAGAAGATTTGATCATGCATGTGAAAATCTTGTAACAATTTGTTCACTTACTCACGCGGACACGTTTCCTTATCCCGCACTGATGTTTCAAAGATATAATAATCGATTATATTATGTTTCATTGTCAGTCTCCACAACAGTAAAAAAAATGATTATGATCGATTAAAAACGGATTATTATCTATTTTTTTGATAATTCAATATAATCCATTTTAATCGATATAATCAACTGTAATGGATTATTTAAATTTTTTTCTAAGGTTAGTCTAAAATTTTTAACAAAGCAGTTTTTTTTTTCACAAACTGGCAGTGGCTTTTGATTTACCGCAACTTTAAAAAAAAAATTGCAAAACGAGATTTTGTTATCTTGTTTTCATTTTTTTCTGTTCACAGTTTTTTAATGATTCAATTTTTCTAGTTTCTTCTGATTTTTTCTAACTTTTTCTACTCCCAAATTACGTGCTTTATTCTCTCCTTGTCCCCTATCCCATGTTAAGCCCCCCTTTCAGCCCCCCCCCCCCCCCCCTCCCCCCAGTTTTTTATCCCCCCAGTTTGCCACCCAGTTTGCCCCAATCCCCAAGATTTTAGCCCCCCCCCCCCCACCGTTTACCCCTCCCCTCGCGTTAACCACATCCCACCTGCGAAGGAGGTAAAACCTTGGTGGGATAAACTGGGGGAGGGAATAAATAAGAATCGTGAGGGGGAGGGAGAGAGTGAAGAATGGAGTTCGGGGAGGGGGGAATGGGTGAAAGGGGTTATGGGGGTCTGGAATGATGTTTGGTAGTTGAGGGTATTTAGGAGTGTGTGGGGGTGGTGGTAGGTTGTGTGGAATGAGGTGTGTTAATGGAGGATGAAAGGGGGATTGGGTGCGTGCAATGTGTGGGGAAGGGCGAGGGTGTACATATGCGGATGAACATGGTCGTCCGGGTTTTAGTTTGGCAGAACGCGCTGCAAAAAGTAGGCTCTTTTTCACTCTCCCACCTTTCAAAATATCAATTTTTGTGCTTTTCTTACGGCTAAAACTATAACACTATAACGGCTAAATGCTGATGTTACGATGTGCAATATGAAGAATAAATGTGCTCACAATTATTGGTGTGTTCGCCATGCCAAATTTCATTGTATTATGTCAACGTTAAATAAGCTTTTCACAAATAAATTTGAAAGAGGCAAAATAGGAAAAGAGCCAAAAAGTAGAGTAATAATTTCGTATTTGCAAAAATTAACCAAGTTTCGTGGATTTTATGAACAAAAAAATTAATCAAACGTTAATAAAAAATGGATTATTATGGATTATAAGGGTTTAAAATGAAATTTTTTAAAATTAAAAATAATCGATTAAAATCACTTTAAAATCCATTTTCATGATTGGAGTGTTCATGAAAATCGATTAATTGGGATAAGTTTTTTGCCGATACTATCCATTATAATCGTTGATTTTTCATGAAATGGTAGTTCGGGATAGCTTACAACATCACAAGCAATTTTATATAGACTTGCTTAAAAAGAGTTTCAGAAAATGTTAAAGGGGAGTGTAAGAGAGCGAAATTAGTAACAAGACTGCTCGTATCAAGGCAAATCCCTAAATGTTCCGACTGCCTTTTAAGGTTTATGGAGCAGCAGTAATAAAAAAAGAAAATTAAATGAAATAAAATAAAATGAAAATTTTTTTTTCAAAATTTGAAATTTTTTATGAAAATCATCCCCCCACATGCCATATAAAGTACAAAAAGATAAATTTCGTTCCTTGTAACAAATCAATTATGGCAAAGAAGCTTCGTTCAACCAATTTGGAACGATTTATAAAGCGGATTAATTCTCCGCTTACGCGTTAATAGTGCGAATTATATCGCGCGTTAATTGTCCCAAATTGGTCAAAATGGCCAAAATGGCAATCTTTAAACCCTCATAACTTTACGAAAAATGATCATAGGTGAAATATCTTTTCAAATTTAAGCTCAGGGCAACATTACCTTTTGAATGATTTAAAAAAATTCTGTCAACAATGGCTAGTTAAAAAGTCGAAATTTGTCTGAAGAAAAAAAAAATTCACCCCGAGCGCAAATATTCCGTTACTTTCGTATCGAAAGTCGGAACAATAATAGTCAACATTTATTCTTTTCAGGCTTGTAATTGAAAAATACAAAATTCTTGTAGAATATACAACTTAGTTCGAAACATGAGAGAACTTCATTGGAACGTATGATCAGTTTCCATTAGTATCTGATTTTTTCAAAGGAACCGAAACACTATGGGAAATGATTGAAAGTTTATAAACATGGCAAATTGATGGATTGAGAAGAGAAATGAAAGCGAGGAAACAGAAACAAAAATACAGATTTGTTTTTCGAAATTCTCGAAGCGTTCGAATTTTTAAGAAAAAATAAACAGATGGCCTTAAAGCTCTTTGAATTTCAAGAACAATTTATGATTGACCTTTTTTTGATAAATTAACCCAATTTGAGATCACGCGATCAATAAGTAAAGCTTCGCTGGGAAATTTGAAATTTAGATTCCACTTTCGAAACTAGATGTCAATCACGTTTTTCGTGACCTTGCCACGTTCGCTGCCACGATAGTGGAATTTGCCTTCCTTTAAACAAATAAAATGAACTGAGCTTAAAAAAAAGAACTCAGAAGTCAAACCGCGAAGAAGTAAATTTGAGCCTGAAAAAAAAACCGTCAAAACCTGTATATAAACTACGTTCCTGATTATTAAAAACAAACAACCGTTATAAAACAAAAAAGCATGTTGTCTAGCTACAGGGGCGGATTTAGGGGGGGGGGGGAACGTGGGATGGCGGACTCCTTCCTTCCCCTCAGGGATTTGACCCCCTGCCAACCCAAAGGGTCCCCCCTTTGGTACTTTTTAAGAAATCCAATTTTGGCTGACGTACCCTAAAACTTTTCTAAAGGCGCCTTTGGCGCCGATATATACTAACTTTGAGGGGGAGCGCGCGCCAAAAAACGCGATTTTTTTGTCAAAGTTTTCCAAAAAATGCCCAAAAACGGCTTTTTTGACCTGTTTTTTTTTTAAATTTGCCTGCGGCGCAGAAAAATTGGCCAAAGCAGGTTTTTTTCTACTGCTTTAGGAGAGCTCAGGAAATCAATTTGGTCGACCTCGAGAAAATCCCAGATCTGCCCCTGTCTAGCTACCCACCTTTGTTCAATTTCATCAATTGAATTTAAACTTACTTTGTACAGAGAAGCAATAGAAAGTGGTACATTTATTTAAAACATGAATTCGCTCTTGGAGTAAAAGTATAGTTTGTTTTTTTTTCGTCCGGCCTTGGGATTGTTTTGGTTTGCCTTAAGCATTGAAGAAGGCAGAGCAGGGAGAGGCGAAAGATAGCTCTTCAATCTTAACCAAAAAAGGCGTATCGTAAAATATCTCATACAATTGGCAGAAAATATTATTAGCCAATTAGAATTCAGTATTCAAAAACTTTGACTCGATTCGGCCAGAGCTTTTAACGATTTGAGATTTCGATCAGCTATTCTCCATTTTCCGCCATTCTGTTCTTCTAGCATGAGGAAAAGAATCAAATAAATGACCTTCATTGAATCACAGTGGGCCTCGATCCACCAGCCTCTGGGCTGAGAGACGGAGGCACTAACTTGTTTTTTACCTGCGATCCAATAAGGAAGGGAAGTTAATTGATTGACTGACCCAGATCGCATATTCCGACCACTCCGTCGTAGCAGCTGAAGGCCAGCAGTTGTGGGTGTGAGGGGAGGGGACTAAATCGGACTCGCAACACCCCACTCCTTGTCACACACTCAAACTCCGGCTCCAGCAGGTTCTTGAAGCTAGAAAATAAGCAAAAAAATGTGAAAATTGCTTTAAAAACCTTATTTTTTGAAAATTTGGTTTACCGCAGACTAACATCAGAAAAAATCCAAATAGCATTTTAAAACGTTCACAAAAATCTTGCTTTCAAAAATCATTATTTTTGCCTTTTGAAGGCTATTCAGAAAACAGCAATTCGAATCGAACACTTGTTGAAAACATGATTTTACTTGACATTTAGCCATTATCTAGTCCTAATTTCCCTTTCAAATAGGTATGCTGCCGTATACAGGAAAAAAATGATTTTCATTTTTGGCGCATTCATAAAATTTTGATGAGTGTAAAAAAACACCTGCGTTGTAAGAATTGGATGGCAAAAATACACGTAAGCCATCCAGCTATAAAACATGCTTCCGTGATTTGGAAATGGTTTTAATTTAAGGACAATTTTCCAATTGAGAAAAAATAGAAAAAATGGCGATTTCTAATTCAAGCTTATTACATAACGATAGTGCACGACCTTTGCTCAGTCAAGCTCGGAAAAGGTTCCGAACAAAGAAGGTTAACTTCGAAAACACAAGCGGTGGCAGCGAAAGTTCCGACAACGAAGCACTTCTTCCCAAGCGCGACTCGGCATTCAGCAAACTTATTCCGACTAGCGTTCGGAAGAAGTATTTCACTCGTGGGTTGTCGTTTAGCCACTGCGAAGCGGCGCCCTATGGGAGTAAAATCTACCTGGCGAGGAGGAAAAAGGCGGACCCGTGGTACATAATTCTGTTGGAGGTTATTGCAGTTATCTTAACAGTAATGTTTGCCCTGTACTGCTTTTACTACCTGGAAACTGTCATTTTTCACGTGGAGAGATTCTATGCACACGTTGGACATGCACACTCTCAACATCAAATTGGACAGAGGTAAAAAAAAGTTTTAACAGCCACAAATAACTGTATAATAATCATGACAGATTGTGAGGACGCTATTAGACCTGATGGTCTGAAAGTCTGTTCTCAAATATGTCAGGCAAAAAAATTAAATAAGCCTTATGAGCGCGTAGAAAGATATGTAGATGCTCGAAATAAATGTAAAAATAAATCGAAAGAAAAGCGTACGTGCTCTCAATATCGATTTGCTCATGCGCACTGAAAACATCTGAAATAAAAGTAAGACTTTTACTTCGTAAATTTGAACCAGTTTCCAAAACTGCTTATAAAAGTAAATACATTTTTTTTTTCATTTTCGATGCAAATTCTGGCCCACAAGAATTTATAACAAGACTGCTCGTATCAGGGCGAAACCCTGAATGTTCCGACTGCCTTTTAAGGTTTATGGAGCAGTAATAACATTAAAAAATTAAATGTAAGAAAATAAAATGTAAAAAAATTTTTTTTCCAAAATTTGAAATTTTTTATGAAAATCCTCCCCCCACACGCCATACAAAGTACAAAAGGATAGATTTTGCTCCTTGCAGCAAATCAATTATGGCAAATAAGCTTCGTTCAACAAATTTGGAACGATTTCTAAGACGGATTAAATCTCCGCTTACGCGTTAAGAGTGCGAAATAAATCGCGCGTTAATTGTCCCGAATTGGCCAAAATGGCAATCTTTAAACCCCCACAAAAAATGATCACAGGTGAAATATCTTTTCAAATTTACGCTCAGGACTACAATGGCTTTCGAATGATATAAAAAAAAATCAGTCAAAAATGGCTAGTTAAAAAGTCGAAATTTGTCTGAAGAAAAAAAAAACCCACCCCGAGCACAAATATTCCGTTACTTTCGTATCGAAAGTCGGAACAATAATTTTATTTGTATTGGGTGGCTCTTTAGAATGGTGTTCAAACATTCAACTTGCGATCTGCTAGTACGAAAGGTACAGAACAGATTTTAATTCTTTTGAGGCATTTTTTGATTTACTATCTTACAAATTTATTTGTCCTGTTCTTGAAAACTCCCGATGACCGCTATTCGGCAGCTGGTATCAGATCATGGCATTTACAAATCTTGATTGTTTTGACTGCACTCAAAAGCCAATTAAAATTTTTTGTTAAAAATGTTAATAAAACAATTCAAAAAAATATTTAAACAAAAACTATGTTTTTTTTAAACCATATTTTAACTGATAAATAAGCTTTGAAAAAAAACTTTGAATTTTTTCCTTCAATTTATCCTTCACGCGCTATCCCGTAAATAGAAAAAGTACGTTTAGCTTCTTGTATACTAATAGTAAGACCGAATACCTTTCCTCAATTCAATAAGGATTGCATTAATTCACTGCTTACGCTTGTTATAAGAACGCAATATATCGCGCGGTAGCTATCCCAAATTGGTCATATTAGCAATATTCAAACCCCAAAATTTTACAGAAATGACCACATGTGAAGTTTTTTTCTACATTTGAGCTCCTGATAACATTATGTTTCCGATTAATTAAGGTTTTTGACAAAACCGCAGTAGATAAAAGGTCGATAATTGACTAGAGAAAAAAATCACCCCAACCATACATACTCCGCTTTTTCTTCAAAAATCAGAAGTGTTATTTCCTACCAAAGTAAATATACAAGATTCAGGGGCGGATCTAGGATTTTCTCGAGGGGGGGGGGGGCGAATTTTTGTCGACCTTTTTTTTTTTTAGGTCGACCGAATTGATTTTTCGAGCTCTCCTTAAGCCTGTTTAGTCCCTATTTTGGTAAAATTTTTTGCGCCGCAGGCAAAATTTTGAAAAAACAGTCCAAAAAAGGCATTTTTAGGTACTTTTTGGAAAATTTTGACGAAAAAATCGCGTTTTTTCGGGCGCGCTCCCCCCTTAAATTTAGTATATATTGGCGCCCAAGGCGCCTTTAGAAAAATTTTAGGGTTGGTCGGCCAAAACTGGATTTCTTAAAAGTACCAAAGGGGGGACCTTTTGGGTCGGCAGGGGGTCGAATCCCTGAGGAAGGAAGGAATCCCCCCCCCCCCTAAATCCGCCCCTGACAAGATTGCTTGTATCAAAACACAGCCCTGAATGATCCCACAGTCGTTTAGAACCTATTAGCGTTTTCAAAAACTGATAAGAAACTGATAACTTTAAGTTTTTCTAAATTTTTTAAAATTTTTTCTCACCACTGTTTAAATACTCAATTTCGAAAAATATAAATGGCCTTTTACGCTCAAGTAGCACGAAAAACCACTGGGATCACAAAAATTCCGTCATTTTCTTTGAAATTCGGAACAAAAATGGCACTTACACTCACCAGCGGATTTTTGGTTTACTAAATTTTTTAACCGGATCTTTTAGCACCTCGCAAAATTTGACAGAAATTGTGACAATCGGTCTCCAAAAATAGCAAAAATGTATCTATCTTGAAAACCATCAAGAGGCCAAAAACCCGTTTTGCGCGCTTTTTTCGAAATTTCCTCACGAGAAATTAGGCTCCATTCCTCAATGTTATCTTATTATCTCTAAGGTGCCAATAGAAAAAAACTATTGATGTCGTGTAATAGCAAAAGAGGAAACCCTTTGGAGAGTCAAGGTGTCGAACTACTGAGGATTCCCCCCCCCCCCCCCCCGATTGAATCCCAAAAACATTTTAGATATCTTCACGGAGCAGGGACGAGTCAGAACCACTCGAAGGCGGCCGAGTATTTCAAGATGGCGGCGGAGGGGGGACATGCCCACGCCAAGTACAACCTGGCAGTTGGACACCTGAAGGGACACCACAGCATGCTTGAGCCAGGGGAGCCCCGGGCTATTCTGGAGGACGCCGTTGAGGAGGGGGTTCCTCAGGCGAAGAAGGTGCTGGACAAGTTCTGCAACCGAGGGGGGAAGTGCTAGCCGAAATGTTCAATTAGCAGAAATTAATCTACTAGTAGTTAACATTCGAGGAATAATCTAAACAGATAACAGAACGGGTCTTTTCTGATATGCTGCCAAAGTGATCCTTTCGGGTTCATGAAAACTCGACCATAGTTTCTTGACATTCGCTAAGTGAAGAATCACAATCAAAAGAAATTCTGAAAATTAGCTTTAAATTTAAGCCCAAACTCCAACATAAAATTGGGCCGTTGAACAGAAAATACCTGTTGCGTTATCAGTGGGAAGTTTTTAACTTATAGTTAACCTGACAGTTAAGAAAGGTCTTTTAAAGAAACATCTCTACTTCTCTTCCAAAAAAGTCGAGCTTTCCCTTGAAATAATCTTTCATTTGATGGTCTTGGTAGATTATAAGTTATACGTTTCCTTGTGGTCTTTCATTAGATATAAATTAAACAGTGTTATTATTTAAATACAATTATAACTTCATTGAGTTTTAGAAATTGACGTGATATTATCAAAAAAATTAACCTGTCTGTATCTTTGAATTTAAATTTATCTCAAAACTCTATGAAGCAAGATTGAATAGCTTAAAATGTACAAAAAGTCAAATTTGAGGATGTTTTTAGCGATATATGAGGCAACGTACGATTTATTTCCTACGGCCCTCCCAGAATCCGACGCAGTTTCCAAACTTTTTCGCTTTACTTACGGCTCCCATGTTTTACCTGACCGACCCTACAGCTTTCTATAGGTAGCTATAGGCTATTTTACGACACCCATTTTTGAGTGACCAGCCTTATTTTGGCGCCAATTTAAATTGTTCTTGAGGAGCTAGCACTTGAAGAAGAATTTTTTGTCAAAATCTTCTAAAAACTACCCAAAAACGGCTTTTTGGACAGCTTTTTTAAATTTTGTCTATGGTGCTGGAAGTCTAAATATGGTCTTTCAACTGTTTTTTGTGCTTTTCGATAAAAAAAAAATTGACACACTTGGAAAAATTATAAAGCCATCAACACTCCCCGCCCCCACCCCCACCCCTGGATAAAATGCTAGAAGTGTTCCTGCTCCTGCCGCACCTGTAGACGAGTGCCTTGCCCTGACTGGAGTGGCCGAACTGGAGTGACCCTAACCCCACTGCGAACAGGTCATTGTACTTCTCCCCCATCGAGATAGAGGTCACCTGAAGATGCTCCCTCTTCAGCGCCTGTGCCTCGCTGTCACACTGCAACAGACAACTAAGAGGTACAAATATGACAGATGGGTGCATAAAATATAGATAAATCCCTGATGAAAAATTAATGCGATTCAAAACTATCGGAGAAAAGTTTTGCAATTGTTTTTGTGCATTTTTGAGAGTTTCATGAAATTGGTGGGACCCATCTTTCATACTTGCTTTTTATAGAGACACAACTATCATACTTAAAGCAACTAAGACATTACATTTATATAAGTTCATCCATTGTGATATTTATCCATGTTATCTTGTTAATCATTTTTGGTCCTCGAATTGGATCATAGACATACCCCCTCACAATTAAAAAAAATGTCGTAACTTAAATGGGCTAGACAATAATTTAATTTCAGCTGTAATGCTGAGGGTGACTCTTATTTTCGCTTCGTTCAACTGGTTAAAAGGCTATTCTCATACAAAAAAATCAAATGCCAGAAAAGATTGAACCAATTCGAAGCGTTAAAAACGGACCACAACTCATCTCATTGAAACTTGTTCTGAAGTTATATTTATATTCAACTTTGGTAGCACATTTTAATAGACTCCAAATTGTTACTTTTGCTGCCATGGAGACCCCCTTTTTTGTTTTTTACCTGGAAGGTCCACAATGGACAGAAGCTTCCATCTGGCTTGTGTCGGTCGGACATGTCGTTCCAGTACTTGAAGTCCTCGGCGATGTCTCCGAAGTTGTTCTGGTTCAACATCCTCCCCATCTGCTTCAACACATGGCCACTCAGCTGCACTCCTAGAGCATACACTTTTCCCGTTTTTTCCGCCCTTAATTACTTTTTTCGGGTCTTGTCTGTTATACGGCCCAAAAAGTTTATCCTTGCCATTTCGAAAGTTTGATCATGTTGCTCGAATTTGTTTGGTTGTAATTACTACCAGCGAAACGAAACCCCATCGTTTTTAATGAACACAAGCTCATTTAACAGTTGGGTGATTGATCAGGCCCCAAAGGTTTCTGCTGCTGTGTAGAGCAAATTCTGCTGCTGCTTCATAGAAACAGTTCTGCTTTTTTATGTTCTTTAAAAATTCTCGTTTATACGCTTTTCGAAGACAAAATCAATAAGAAAAGCGAGCAGAGCACTTTCAGAAAGCAAAACAGAAAAAAATTGGAGTCGCAGAAAGATTCATTTTTTGTGTTTCTGGGAAATAGATCAATTTTGTTAAGAATTTATTCGGGTAGAGCATACATACGTAAATGGTATTTTCGAGAAATAGATTTGCAGAAGCGATCGAGAATCGAGATTTCGAGAATGATCCTATAACATGTTTAATTATAGTATTTTGATATTAGGTAACCTCGCATGACTGTCAAGGTCAACGTTGCAGTTAGCGTAAAAGATACGTACGGTCAGTGGCTTGCTTTGGGACTTAGAATTAAAGTTGATTCTCTTAGGTTGTTATTGATCAGTTTACTATGAAGTAGTGCGCGTGCATACTTCCATATGACGCAGTCAAATACGGATCTGGCCTACCGCGGCCTTCATGTTTTCTAGTACGGTCCGTCCCAGGAACTTCAAGTCTCTCGGAGGATTGGATCCAAACATTTCGATTGGTTTTCATTGCAAAAGAAGAGATTGATAAAGGAAATCTACTGGAAGACAACTCGTTACCAGACAATCCTTATCAGACACTTGAAAAGGCACCAGGGACCGAAGATCAACAGGCGAGAACGGAACGGGAGATGAGAAATAACACGGCAATAACGGCATGGCGAGATGAGCAACACCCAAGAGCAGACGATGAGCGAAAGACATTTAACGGTGTTACCCGGGGTGAAGTAGATAAGCCACTGAAATCAAAGCTGTTCTTGTCATTGGGCAAACAAGGGTAAAATTACTTGAACCAAAAACATCCATACCGAAAAGTTGTAGACATTATTTCCATCAAATTTTGTAAATTATCTGAATAAACTTTCCTGAAAGTATGAAGCAGTGCCTTGGAGCATTGCGCGATCTTACCCGGGGTGCGATTTTGGGGACCGAGAGCAATCAATGGAACGCGATGTTTTCATCTTCAAAATGAATAACGCAACTGTAAAGAAGCAACTGTGAATGGAAACGTTAAGTCCCGGAAATGCTTTGCAGTTTTCCGTAGCCAGAGAAAGAAATGAACTCATGTATAAAAAATAGTTAGAGGAGGATTGCCGAAATTTGGGAAGATTAGTTTTAACAACGGTCTTCCAAATATTTTCACCTCAAACAAGACAGGAAAAAGTGAGAGCTACGTCAAACGGTAATCGGTCGATGGAGTTAATAGTCAAGTATTGGACAAGTGCCAGAATTGTGGAAACCCACTGAAAACAATTCACAGCGAATATTGTAAAGCAAGGATTAAAGTCTGCAACATGTGTAGTAGTCGAGGGCATTTCGCGAAGTTTTGTAAGAAAACTTCGGTCAGTCAACTGGATGGAACGAACGAACTTCCGCAATATGAGACTAAATTGGAAAAACAACACAATGACGATGTTCGATGAGACCAAATTGGCGATGAGACCGAATTGAAAGAACAAGACAATGAGTTCGGAGTATTCGTAATCAAGACAATGATGCATTAAGAAGTGCAGGAGAATCGGAAAATACTGAAAATTGGAATGAGACAAAGCCAATGGCGGTCAGAGTTACAAATCGATCGTGCGAGCCCGGTTTCATTCGTTTCACAGACGAAATTACAGGAATTGAATTCAAGAAAAAGTTTCGTAGACATTCGAATGGCTCCGAAAGTGACTAGGAACATCTTCTACATTGCAATTGATGACGTCATCAAGGCAATCGGTAGCATCTGTGAGGACATTGAATTAAAAGGTTCGACAGCCCGAGTGCATAATTCAACATCACAGAGAGAGTTCAATGGGATATCTTAGAGAACAAAATTTTGCCTGCCTCGGGTATTAACAAAAATGAAGCTCAAGATATGTCAACGAAGTAGGAGGTGACACTGCAGAAGAGATGGCAATGGATTATTCATCGGTTCATTGTGAGTATATTGAAAATATACTAATAGAACTTCAAAAACTGGTTGAAAGAAAAGAGGTATTAAAATTGCGAAGTCAGAGCACACTTTCACGAACCGTTACGACCGGTACAAGTAAAGCGAAAAAGAGTGCCCATACACGAGTTACCAAAAGTCGAAGAAACAAAAAACGGTTTACTACAAGAAGGCCATAATGCAAAACTGGATAAAAGTAACGAAGACGGTTTCAATTTACATACGGTTTTAACGGCGGAACGAGATGGTTCGCTTAAATTGGCATCAAATTCTAAATTGATTGATATAATGATATGTCGGGATCGGTATCAAATTTAAAAAAAATATGAACGAGTTAGACAATATAATAGACAATTTGGCGTTGACCATCAGTGGGAATACATCAGACCCAATCTGGTTCTCAAATATCGATCTCAAGTACGCTTACTCACAAATGGCGTTAAGTGGTGAATTGGTCGACAAAGTAATTTCAGCTAAATAGGGGGAAGCGTGCGTCACTGACACGTATCGTTTTAAGACGGGGTTTTATGGATTAGTGGATTTGCCTAATGAGTTTGAAGCGTAATGGTTTCGATGGTTGGCGACCTGCCAGGGGTATATGTGTACCTGCATGATATTTTAACCGCAATCCGGGGGTCCATTGGCAAGTGCTCAAAAAGTTTTGCTGGTATTGGATGACGTTAAAGCAGCAGTAAATTGGAGTAAGTGCACTATTTTTGCCAAAAATATTGAATGATTGGGATTCATATTATCGAATAAGAATATAAAACCGGGGGAAAGTAAAGCGAAATTCATTGAAAAAATGAAAAAACCGAAAATGAAAAAAAAAACACATATAAGTTACTTTAATAGATCGATCAACCAATATGTCGTTTATCTCAAACTTAGCAGCTACAACAGAGCCTTTTCGAGACTTAATGAAGATTTATTAGAATTTCCAATGGTGTAAAAACATGGTGAGCCGTTAGAAACGATGAAAAACACAGTAAGTGATTTTGTACTAAATCATCATTTTGACGTGAGAAAAGATACAAGAGTGAAGTGTGATGCGACTAAGAAGGGTCTAGGGGCTGCCATAAAAAAAATTGACACACTTGGAAAAATTATAAAGCCATCAACACTCCCCGCCCCCACCCCCACCCCTGGATAAAATGCTAGAAGTGTTCCTGCTCCTGCCGCACCTGTAGACGAGTGCCTTGCCCTGACTGGAGTGGCCGAACTGGAGTGACCCTAACCCCACTGCGAACAGGTCATTGTACTTCTCCCCCATCGAGATAGAGGTCACCTGAAGATGCTCCCTCTTCAGCACTTGTGCCTCGCTGTCACACTGCAACAGACAACTAAGAGGTACAAATATGACAGATGGGTGCATAAAATATAGATAAATCCCTGATGAAAAATTAATGCGATTCAAAACTATCGGAGAAAAGTTTTGCAATTGTTTTTGTGCATTTTTGAGAGTTTCATGAAATTGGTGGGACCCATCTTTCATACTTGCTTTTTATAGAGACACAACTATCATACTTAAAGCAACTAAGACATTACATTTATATAAGTTCATCCATTGTGATATTTATCCATGTTATCTTGTTAATCATTTTTGGTCCTCGAATTGGATCATAGACATACCCCCTCACAATTAAAAAAAATGTCGTAACTTAAATGGGCTAGACAATAATTTAATTTCAGCTGTAATGCTGAGGGTGACTCTTATTTTCGCTTCGTTCAACTGGTTAAAAGGCTATTCTCATACAAAAAAAATCAAATGCCAGAAAAGATTGAACCAATTCGAAGCGTTAAAAAGTAATTTCAGCTAAATAGGGGGAAGCGTGCGTCACTGACACGTATCGTTTTAAGACGGGGTTTTATGGATTAGGGGATTTGCCTAATGAGTTTGAAGCGTAATGGTTTCGATGGTTGGCGACCTGCCAGGGGTATATGTGTACCTGCATGATATTTTAACCGCAATCCGGGGGTCCATTGGCAAGTGCTCAAAAAGTTTTGCTGGTATTGGATGACGTTAAAGCAGCAGTAAATTGGAGTAAGTGCACTATTTTTGCCAAAAATATTGAATGATTGGGATTCATATTATCGAATAAGAATATAAAACCGGGGGAAAGTAAAGCGAAATTCATTGAAAAAATGAAAAAACCGAAAAAGAAAAAAAAACACATATAAGTTACTTTAATAGATCGATCAACCAATATGTCGTTTATCTCAAACTTAGCAGCTACAACAGAGCCTTTTCGAGACTTAATGAAGATTTATTAGAATTTCCAATGGTGTAAAAACATGGTGAGCCGTTAGAAACGATGAAAAACACAGTAAGTGATTTTGTACTAAATCATCATTTTGACGTGAGAAAAGATACAAGAGTGAAGTGTGATGCGACTAAGAAGGGTCTAGGGGCTGCCATAAAGCAACTACATCCGGAGGGCTGCTAACCTTTTCATACGCCTCCGTTTTGCGCTTGAAGCAGAGTTGAAATATAATATCATTGAAGGCGGAAGCATTGTAGGGGCAAACATCACTAGAACGTATCGTTTTGAGACACGTACAAAAATATTGCTAGTGATCGTGTGGGCAGTGACTCTTCATCAGAACTATTTGTTTGGGGCTCCATTCAAGATAAACACAGACCACAATGCGTTATTATTGTGTTTGTCACATAAAAAGATTTCCAAAACGACGCAAACATGATTGGGTGGGTCGATGGGTCGATAGATTACTACCAATTGTTTATGAAAATGAGCCTTTCTCAGGTAAGAATATGGGGTTGGTTCACTTTTTATCCCATCATGCGATTGGTGCAGCTGCGAAAACAACGCAATTAGACAAAAAGTTTGCTGTAGCACAATTTAATGGAATCAGTCGGCTTATTGCCCCTTTGGCATAGTATATCTCAAAGTGACGCCATGTACAGAAGAAAATATGAACAAGAATTGCGTAATCAA